TGTTCTAAACTTGCAGCACATCTTTAATTCCAGCACAGCCTCTTATTTTTGTATTTTAACACTGGAACACCGTGCTTAACGTGCATATGTTGTTCATACAGAAATTCAAGCAGGGCTGAATTTTCCAAAGTTGAAACTTCCACATTTTATCCCCCAGATGCCTTAAAATATTTGTGTCTATTTTAGTGGTTTTGTATGCATACTCCTAAATAGCATAATTTCAATGCTGTGCTGAATGATTTCACTAGAATTTAGATTACACTTCAGTTACAAACCACAGTTTTAATTACGGCACAGATGCATGTAGATGAGAATAAAAAAATAAGATCATTTGGGTTATATTTAACCACTATGTTAATTTCCTTCTTCCCCGTGCTATGATAATGTAAACAGCAAATGAAGGAGCTTAGCTTGCTGAAATCGTTATTTAAAACTTAAAAATAAATGTTAAACCTTAATCTATCTCCTCAAGATTTCTTTATTACAGGCATTAACATAACTGCTGTTCTCTGAAATTTATTTCATTTTAATATTGTAACTGAAAATCTGCAATATCTTATTTAGCGAGGATGTAATTTGCTCTTCTGTGAGCCTTTATGTTGTATTGTAGTGTTTGGATTCTTGTGCATCTGCTTTCCTCGATTAGTATCTTTCCTAATGTCTCAGACCTGTTTTCTTTCCTCTCAATGCAATAAAGTACAGAATTTTTCTATTTTAGACAGCACATTATTCAATTCTCTTGGCATATGCTGCTCTGATTTTTATTGGCTTATTTGCTTGAAAAATGCTTCAGTGTTCTGAGAAATTTTGGGTTTGTTTATGTTGTGAGATCTTGTTTTCAAAACCTGCAAAATGATCTGTCACTATTTTCCTATTGACATTATACTGATCTTAATGTGGTTTTGGTGGGTATCAATTTGAATTCGAGCAAATATTCCTGGCAGGAATTTTAAGACGATTACAAGAAATTTGAAAGCAGTAGAGAAGAAAACATTGTCTTAAGCATCTTCGTATGTCAGATATCACAATATGGTCTGTCTAGGAGAACCTCACAGTACAAAAATGAATGCAAAGAGGACAGCTTGGATGGATGTAAAATTACTGGATCAAATTGATTTAAATTAACAGGCAGAAAGCTTTAATCAATTTAAATTTTACTTATTATTGAACTTTTTTAAAAGCATGTTGAGAGGCCTGTTCCCTGAATTTTTAATATCTCCTAGGAATGGAGATTCTGCAGCTGGCTGGGACAACCTGTTCTGGGGCTTAACCAGCCTCACTTTAAAAATACCCAACAAAACACAACACAAAACAGAAAAAGCAGCCTAACTTCTTTTTTTTCCGGTCAGATTTTCCTATGTTTGTACTTTTGCTTGTCCTATGGCTATGCATCTCCAGCCTGGTTCACTCTTCTCTACCCTCACATTAAGTAGCTGTGGACTGTAATAAGATCTCCCTTTTTTTCTTTTATGGCTGCATGGACTCAGTTTTCTTAGCTTTTCTTTGTAATATCACATGCTCCAGCCCACTGATCATCCTGGTGGCTCATTCCACTGGACTTCTTCCCCCATTCTCAGCTAGCAGGGCAGGCACTAAAACCTTGTGTGTTCCAATCAAGGGGCTGTGCCTGTCAGGTCATCTAGCAGCCCTCAGGTGGGATGAACACCCTTGTCTGGTATGGAGGCACTCCAAGGCAGCTGCTCTAACCAGCTTCCTCTGGATAGTGCTTGAGGGGCATTTAATCATTGCCATGAAATTTACTGTTTTGAAGATACTTGGTACTACATAGTGTTATGTTTTGATTTAGAAGAGACATACTGCAATATACTGAAATCACAACACAAGCATGACACAGCGCTTGAAATATACATTTGGATCACTATGCCAAAGCGATTCCCATTACTGATCTGCATCTGCCCACTGTCAGGATGGTGGGCATCTCCCGTTCACCAGGAAGGAATATGTGTGCTAAAGCTCTCTCAAGCCTATAGTTCTCTTGAAAGCTCCTTCTTTGCTTTTTCGGTTTTACGCTTTTTGTGGGACTGAGCCGTGTCACATACGTACTTCTCCCCCTGCTGGCCTGGCTAGCCGAGGGAGACCTTACATGCTAGTAATTATTTTAGAAAAGGCTGTTTGCATAACCTGATGACTTACTGGTACAACCATATACCCAAAGGAAAAGTCATCCTCCAGTCCCCTTTATGTGGAGATAAATTTGACTTCATGCCACTAGATGCTCATTCTTGTATTTCTTCCTCGACTTCATCACCCGTGCCCATCTCCTCTGAGCCTTCTTTCCTTGTAGAGGTTTGCTCATCACTCAGGTAGGCTCTATCTCTTTGGCACTGTTGTAAATGTATTCCTGGTGAGCTGGTGGGCCTGTGAGCACCTGGAGAGAGGTGCCTGCCAGTTCCAGCTGATCCTCACTTCCAAACTCAACACCGGTTTTGGTCACGTGAGGTGAATGTGTCCAGCTGCACAAAGATGTACAGAGTCATAATGCTGTCAGGAAAAAACAGGAGGGAGAAAAGCTGCAGGTATCATTAGTACCCTCAGCCCCTGACATACTCCTGGCAGGTACCTACAGGGCTACAAGAGAGGGCAGCAACCTCATTTACAGGTTGATGATCTAGTTGAGTTGTGAAAGGCTTGAATCTACTCCAATGAAAACATGGACCCAAGTTCCAGACCTTAAGTAGATCCCTCCTGACTATGCAGGTGACATTGCAGGTGGATTTTAAAACAAATACGTGCACCTGGTCACAGTCCTTTTTTTCTCAGTGGGGTTGGAAAGATGTATTTGGCATGATGGATGCACAGAGCTGTGGGAATAGGCATGTCACTACAGGAAGGAGAACCAAAAGGAAATAACCAGGGAAGAGTCTTCATGGCTCATAAGGGTTAAAGCATTTGCTCTAGGAAATCTAAGAATCATTCTGAGATTCATCACCACAATTTTGACACAAAGAAAGAGAACACTTAATTTCTTATTTGCCACCTGTAGTAATAACCTGTTCAGTTTTCTTTGATTATTAAAAAAAAAATAGCCATGTTGAGAGTATATTTTCATAGAACATATTTTCAAGAAATCGGAGATTTTTTCCACCTCTGCATTTCTTGCAGTACAAAGCAGTATGCGCAGTACCGTATTTTTGATCTTTAAAGGAAAGTTATGATACCCTCTGCTGGCTATTTTTGGAACAGATCTGAGCTATAACTGACCAGTTTAGAGTCAGCAGCAGTTAAACTTAATCTGTACTGCAGTTTTAATGTAGTCTTTGTTTTCTTTTCTTTTCTTTTTTTTTTCTGATGGATTTGTGAGGAGTTTCGGTTGTTTTGGTATTTTTTCTCTCTTTAGTTCTGTCCCTGGCTTCAGCAGAGTAAATCTGACTGTGATGGAACTGTATTTTTGAATGCAGGTTGTTATGGCTTTCAGACCAACACTTCTATAGGTACAAATGAAAATAGCTAGATGTTATCACAGCTCTTGTTGCCTAGTAACCAAAGCCCAATGTGTAATTCAACGAGATAAATTTGATGCACTTTGCTTCTTTTTTCCTTTTTAGCAGCAGAATGTAAAATACATTTAGACTTGAATGTTTTGTTTTCTGATAAATAAAAGGTATTGAAATCTCTAACTTTACAAGCTCAGTTACAGTGATCTCAGAACTGATGCAAATTTCCCATAATGAAGAGTAATCTGGTCCTTGTAACATTCCTTTACTGTTCATATAAGTATGCCAGGGTAACTGTGAATACAAATATTAAATTATTTTCTCCATACCATACTTAAATTTCACGTTTCCATTTTGTATTCTGATTTGATGATGGTTTTACAAATTTTTCTACTGGATCCATTTATGCAGTCAAGGATTGTTCTCAGAATTATTTGCTTAACTATACTGATAATGTGCCTAAAATTATCTAGGACTGTCCTTGAATTAGTTACTGAATTTGTGATCAGGTATGAAATGTTTGCTTCATTGGGGCAAGCTGTGTAAATAAATACTTGTAGATTTCTGGCATTGATTTTTGCTATGTAAGGTAATGATTATATCTTACAACAGAATTAACTATCAAATGAATTTATCTACTCACTATTATAACTAATCATACTGTGTTCTGGTAATATAAATTGTATTAGTGATATTATCTTAACAATTACATAAACGTGCTAAAACAAAACTATGTCACTGTACTCTTTCAACCTTGTAATTAATAACCTTTAAGCTTACTAAAGTTGTTTGGAATTGTGGCACACTGACACTTATGCTTTTTACATATTTGCCACTTACTTTGTTAGACTTACTAAGTATTTTCAAGAATTATCTAAGATTTAAACATTTGTGTCTATTCTTCATTTCTCTTTCATTAACAGTTGATATTCAAACCAAACTCTTGTTAAATGTATGATCCTTTATTTTCCCTGTCTATATTGATTGCCAGACAATCTTGAATTATTATTCTTCCAAGATAGTCACAGACTTCTGGGGAAGTCTGAATTCTTTCCTTACTGGAATCTCTTGCATAAAGATGCTTATTTTTGATGGTAACAAAAAAATGGTACAGTGTCCAGTTCTTGCATGCAAATAAGATTTACATATTCTATCATGGTCTAGAAAACTTTATTTTAAAAATATCCAACACCGAAGGCTTGGAAATGAGATGTAATTGTGAAATACTGGGAAATGCAAGAAGGGAACTTGTGAATGAATATTGGGAAGAGTTTAAATAAAGCGTGAGTTACAGTTTGTGGAATGAGTTCCCCCAGTGAACACAATGGTAGAGATGTTGCTTGTTATTCTAAATGGAATCTGTAGGGAGGTGAAATCATGCTCGTGCTGGGTTTTAATTTCTTCAGTTGCATAATGCTGAAATCTTCCTCTTTGTTTTGGTCTTGGTTTTTTAATGGTTTATTTTGCTTTCTTAATATTGACAATACTCTTGTATAACATCAGAATTGAATTGGGACATTAACCAGCTCTTGCTTCTCCTTTCAGGTACTGCTCCCAGCAGCTGGTCTCTTGCAACTGCAGGATGTGAAGAGGACTTGCTGTGAATTTTTGGAATCTCAGCTTCATCCTATCAACTGCCTGGGGATTCGTGCTTTTGCTGACATGCATGCATGCACAGATCTCTTGAGCAAGGCCAACACATATGCAGGCAAGTTATCATTAGTGGAGCACACAACTTGATATGTGTCAGTGTGGGTGGGTTCCAGAGGAACCTGAGTTTTCTCCAGGGTATTGCAGACATGTATCTCCTGATGAAAACTGCATTTGATCTGAATGCCTTCAAGAGAAATAAAACGTGTTGGCTGGCCTATAGTTATATTTAAGCTGAATGGGGCAGCATCTTCACAGACTATTCCGACTCTGCAGGGTCCAAGACATTTCCAATCCAGAAAGAAGCTAGCTTAAAATGTTTAAAATCTTGCACCATCACTTAGGGGAGGAAATTGGGAAAGAAGAATTAAAATTCTGACAACTACCCTAAGTCAAAGTATGTAGGAATTACATGGGGGAAGAAATAAGAAAAAGGCATTGGAAAGAGGGGTAGCCCCTGCACTGCACTAGTGAAGAAGGAAGAAACGTAATGTTGGGTATTATGTAATCAACATATCTTCTGAAAATGCTGCTCATGTAGCCAAAGACCTGAAATTTCTTATTATAAAGGGTACCTATAGTCTCATCCCCTTGAATCTTGTATTTCATCTGTCTCTCCAGCTCCCCTATTTTCATGCTTGGTACTAACCTTATCATTCCTCTGTAACCAAACCACCTTCCATTTCTGTCAAATTCCCGCCAAAAGCTTGAGGTATTGTCATCATATTCTTGGAGTACTGCTGGCTTGTATGACAAGCTGCCAGCTCAACTCCTACTGGGTATTTGCTGTGTCTGTGCGGTGGAATTTAAAGCAATGCACAGTTTGTTCTTACTCTTGAGGTAAATATGCTGTGTATAGTCAGAATGCATAGTCAGGTCCACTCTCTGCTCTGCCTTCCTCTTCCTAGCACTGTCAGGCTTAGATCAAGAGCAATAAAAAAAAAGAGAATTAAAAATTAAATGTCCTGATAAGGCTGTAGAAAAAAATATGTATGACTGCATTGCTTTTCATGACTTTCCTTGAATGTACAGTGACCAATTAGCATAATTAACAATTAGTACAGAGTTAAAATGGAATATTTTCCTGAAATGGAGCACTAAGTGCTTCAACTCAAGTCCAAATAATAGGCTTTTTATTGCCTTGAATAAATTTAGACCTCAGAAAAGCAAGGACTTTGATGAATGCTTTCAGTTGTCTTCATTCCTAGAAATGCTGATTTGTGGTATAGAATTATTTTAACTCACAGAAGATTATAGTATTTCTATCAAGAATGATTGATATGTCAATTAAAAAAATTCAAAAGCTTTTCAGATTGTTTTTGAAAGTACTAGCTTTTGTAATGCCTACGTTACTCACAAAGTTGTGATGTGTACATGACTGAATGACTTTGTGATATTTCTATTTAGATACCTATGCAAAAGATTTTAATGAAATCTTTTTGTCTTTGAGTAATACATTATTAAATTCAAAAAGCTATTATATTTTTTGAAATAGGAAGCAAGACATACATTTATTAACTAGAGTTAATGTTCAGATATTTAACATTTTAGGGAACACATTTTGATACAGCTGTTGCTTAATTTTGAGTTTTAATTTTTTTTTTTCCAACTTCTATTCTGACTGGGCCTTAGTTACTTTTAAACTAAACCTCTAAACTACTTCAGTTACTTCTAAACAATCTTTGTTCTGTTTAGAAGTTGAAGCTAATATTTGTATAGATTACTTTCTAGAAATAAAGATTCTAAGACACTGGTAAGGCCTTGAGTGCAGTATTGGTTAAATGTGTTTTGAGAGCACAGGAATTGTGTCCACTTGTTAACTCTCCTTCCCTGGGTCATTTTGTTCAGGCATCCTTTGCTGTGCACAGAGTCTGCAAGCAGAGCACAGACAAGAGAAAAGAGGAGGGAAGTTGGGACATGCAAGACACTAAGCTGTGCACCAGAATGCTCAGTGCTCCTGATAAAAAGACCCATTTCTCCTTGGAATTGGCTGATCATCAGTCTTGCTGAATTTCTGTCTGCTGACTCCCTGATTTCATTTCATACAGTTCTATACCTTTTCAGGTCAATGTTTTTGCTCTTGAATTTTCAGGCTACTTACTGCCTTTATCTCAGCCATCATAGCTTCTTTTTTCCCCCTGTTCTTATCTCAAATAGCTTTTTGTACTTTGTCACAGGTTTCTTACAACTTAAAAAAAAATCTCAAAAATCTGAGCCAAAAAGACATGGCTGTGCCATTTCAGAGGGCTTTTTGTACTTTGTCTTACAACTTAAAAAAAAAATCTCAAAAATCTGAGCCAAAAAGACATGGCTGTGCCATTTCAGAGTTAAGCTTTGTATCACAGGAGGCTTAACTCCCAGAGCACACATTTTTGGATTAAGGCTCCAGAAATTAGAATGAGTACAGAAAAGGATTATTAGATTGAAAAAAGCAGTGAAAATATTTCCCTGCTAGAGAAAATGAAAAGTATTTTGTTTTGTAACTTCTCCCAGTCTTTATTTTATTACACTTGCTATTTTAGGTTTAGAAAACGAGGCAGTGAGATAGTTCTGCTAATAGACAATGATAATATAAAAACAAATGGATACCAATGGATTAGAAGTTATTAGAAAAGTGAAACTCTAGAACTTCCTTCCAGTGGAAATGAAAATGCAACTTCCATTAAATTTGGAGCTTCATATTCCTGTGGTAGGTTGGTCCTTTGCAGCAGAGAGCAAGATTTCTAGGAGAGTCATTTATATGCACCTGTGACCTGAAAATAGTGGACAATTGATATTGGAAAAGGTTACTTGGCATGAGCTTCTGTTGCAATTTAACTTGGAGATGCCACATGTCCTCATGATGTTCCAGCAAGCAGTCCTGCTCTGGGTCTTGTTACACTGGCACAGTCAGAGACTGTGTACAGCTGAGGTCTCTCCTCCTTCTTTTGTGAGGATTCCAAGGAAGAGTATGTGGCATGAGCCACAAATGAGCTCTGCTAGTCTGTCCTCAGCTTTGGTCTGGGATATACCTTATGTAGTGTTAAAGGATGTTCACAAAATAACAATTTTTCCTGAGAAGGCAGTGCATTATGTAGATGTTGTAATGTTACAAACTGAAGATAAATTGGTAAAGCCTTTTAATGAGGAGGGGTGTGCCATCTTGGACTAGAGAGACCCTAGCTCAGTGCTTATGCCCTTACATTTCTTAGTTTTAACCAAAGAATAATAATGTATTTCACCCACTGCATAGGGCAGTACAGGCATTGGGAGCCCTGTGGCAGTGGTGTCCTTTTGAGGCATAGCACAGTGAACCTTTTTGGCTTTTAGCACTGTGCTGAGATGTTAAAGAATCTTTTGTTAGGGAACTCTAACATGTTTTGTGATGCAGGGATTGCTGCATTGTATTTGGGATAACAGCATTCTTGATTCTGGTGCTCTTAGCCTAAAACTTGAGCCCTGGCAAGACTTGGAAGCGTGCATGTCTTCTGTGGGCTGTTCTTGTGTACATCCGTATGCCTGGCATGGAAAGGATGGAGTTGTCAGAATCATTCCTATGATTCTATTCTGAGTAGCAACGTCTGTTGCTATGCTGCTGTTGCCTTGGCTGTTGTGAATTTCATGGTGTTCTAAAAAACAGTTATTTAAGTATAAAATTTGCAAATAAATCAGATTTTTTTGAAAAAATGTGATTCTGCAGTTTTAGCTTCTGCTGGTTCTCCAATTGGCAGAGCTTCTGTCTCTCCCTCTGCAATAAAGCTAGGGTTCCTGTTTGACCAGTGCCTTAAAATAGGCCAATAGCAAAGGCCTTTAGTCCCAAGCCAAAAAAATCTCATTGTGACATTGTGAATTAATCCATAAATGTTTAAAGCATAGAATGTCCTGTGCAGGTTTCAGATATAGCTTTCCTTCCTATGTAATTGAAAAATATAAAGTTAATGTCTCAATCAGTGTAGCCAGATTTGTATGCCTTTTGGATAGAAGAGGTGTCAAGTGCTTTTTGCTGGATGTGCACGTATAGCTCCAGACTCAGAACAACAAATACCAAAAAGTGGTACATTTACAGCTCCTGTTTTCTTTCTATGCTCTCCACACTGGCATTGTTTATTGTACTTCCAGACATTTTTCCTGTTGTTAAAGACTTCTTTTTGTTTGTCCCACGCTGCTGGCACAGGGCAGACAAGGACAGATCTTTAGCTATTCAGATAGAAACTGACTCAGTTGCAAAAATGTGAAAATCTGGTTTTCATATGCAATTGGAACAGATATTTTAGAAATGTCCTAATTTTTTTTTTTATTAAAGACAGAGTTTAGTCTTGGTAATAAAGAAGTAGGACTCTACTTGCTTAGGAAGTGGCAATTTAGAAGACAAGCCTCTGCAGCTCCTAAGCCAGCTTGTTTCCAGGCTGCCAGACTCTAGAGCCAGCTGGCTTCAATTTCTGGGTAAAGAGGCAAGAAATGGGACTCCAGTACAAATTTGTCGAAGTTGCATACTGTGTGGAAAATTCTGATTTGGGAAAAAATAATTATTTTGTTCTCTCATGGAAACTTCCATCTGGTTAGTTCTCTCTTTGCTTGTCTAAGAGATGTTCATAAAGAAAGAAGTATGTTCCATAATGCAATAAATAAAAACCAAGATAATTTGAGATCGTACAGGGGACAGTTACATGAAATATTTAATCATTTAAGCATAACTTTCATCATGTTTGATGTTAATGTCTTCAGATTATTGAAGCTTTCAGGATGGGAGCAGTAATATGAGATAATAAAAATCCTAACCCAGAAAGCAAAAAAATCCCCACACCTCCAGTACTATTTTTCATCGTTATTGGGAAAAGAGGATCCATGTGTGATTTCTTGAAATTTTAGTACTGAGTCATGTTATTTCGAAGATGCTGATATCCTTTTTGCTAAAAGGATGCAAAAAGTTTGAATTTCACAAGTGTGATTTTTATGTATAATGAAGCCTTCTGTCTTCAACGCTTGAACCAGCATTACATAAATTGCCATTGGATTTAATTGATTTTTACATTTCCTTGTTCTTTTTCAGTTTTTAATTATATTAAATAATTCCTGTAGCTGTAATTGCAATTGGCTTCTGCTCAAATGTTATCTATCAATCAGTTACAATGGTTTGCTAGACAACAAGAGATCTGATTCTTACAAGACAAGTTATTTCACCTTACCTCCTTTTTTGATGACTAAAATTTATCTAGAAATCCCCTCTATTTCTCTTTTGTCCATAATTCATTCACCTGAGGATCTGTAGCTGTTGACTGTAGTTTGGTTTAGTGTTTCTTCTTTTTGGCCATGTGTCATGCTTTGTGCTTTAAGAGGCTGACATCCAGTAAACCAGTTTTTGTTCAAGCCCTGTTTTTTTTTTTTTTTTTGTTTGTTTGTTTTTTTTTTTTTTTTTTTGTTTTTTTTTTTTTTTTTTTTATTCTCTTCTATAGTTCTTATGCCCCACATGAAAACTGGAGACAGCCTCACATTCATTGTATTACTTTGAAAATTCTCAACTTTCACCTCTCCTGGTTTAGAGGGTGGATCTCTTCCTACTTAATGCATGACATAAATCTAAATCAACTTCTAAAAAGCAAGGCTTTTGTATGTGAGTCTATAAAATCAACCAGGTATTTCTAATTTATTAAATATATCCTGTTGAATGTGATCCACTGTTGCATTGTATTTCTCAAGGAAAGATGAAGAGTGCTTCAGAACCTCAGATTTGCTTGAGATTTGGATGCACATTGCTTCCCCTTCTGCTTGCTTCCAAACTTAGCTTCTCAGTACAGTCAGGCATACTGGTTTGTGACACTGTCACCTAAAATTTGGAGTTTATTGTAAAAATAATCTATACAAATTATCTTTCTCAATTTCTATTTGCAAACAATAAAATTCATCAGATACTTAGCTTGAGAAACTGCATACTTTTCTGAAAAGCAAACAGATACAAGAAGATTAATAGAGTGGAAAAGTAATGGGGATGTTATAAAAATCAATAGTATTTCTTTTCATCCTTTCTTTCCCATTGCCTGAAGTACTGCAGAAAATAGTACCTGTCCATCATAAGAGAATGCTGCAGAATTAGAGGGACTTGTACTGATGATGATTGCATCTAAACCAGCTGTTTTCTTGTACCCTGCAAAGTTGAACTGAAAAATTAGACTTCTTGAGCTTAAGCATTCAGCTTTCTTTAACTTTTTTTAACAACTTAGACAACTTTCTTAAGAATGGAGTCTTAGTTACAGTAGTACTAATACAGGGATTGAAAAGGCTATAAAATGTTATTTGGTTCGAGTGTGTTTGCTGGCCTCTTTTTATTTATTCTAATTTTAAGAGAATTTCTAAGTTCTTAGTAACAGTTGTCCCTTCTGACTTCTGTTAATAGCAGAAGAAGGGGAAAAATAATTTAACTGAATGGAACGACTTTTAAAGCAAAATAATGCCATAAAAAGCAATTTTAAGGAAGGGAGGGAATGATTGAATAACTGAGTGACAACTTGAAATTTTTTCAGTTTTATTTTATTTTTAAGTTGAGATTTAAAAAAAAAATTAGGAAAAACTACATACCTTCTGCATGTTGTAGAGATTGCAATATGCAATATTTTATGACCTTGGAGAAGCTCTGAGAGATGCAACAGGACTTGTTGTATGTCGTTGTTGGTTGGTTCTAAAGAATCAACCATTGTTCATGTCAAACTACAAATTTAAAATATGCTTTTCAACAGCATACAGAGTATAAAGACTCTGGAGTCTTTTCTTCTGTAATTCTGTGTACAAATTTAGCAAAATGAGACTTAGGTAATTCTTAAGGACCAGTACTGAGATGAAACAAGCATCTGAAAATTACAGCAATACTTTTAGTATAATGTGCTTTAATATTTCAGTTAAAGAATCTTTAAATATAAAAGGTATTTGTGAGACCAAGCTTTAACTTAAAGAAGAGGTTTTAAGTCAATATATTGCTTCTAGATAGGGTAAAATAGCTTGCATATTGAATCATTTTCCTCTGTTTTCCCCTGCTGCTTTAATGCTTGTTATATATGTGGGGACCTTTTGCTCTATGTTAGCTATTTCTTTTCCTCCAAACAGAACAGCACTTTTCTGATGTCGTACTTAGTGAAGAATACCTCAATCTTGGTGTAGAGCAGGTGTGCAGTCTGATATCCAGTGACAAACTCACAATTGCCTCAGAGGAGAAGGTAAAACAATCTGTATCCCATTATTCTTTTTATCCTTTTGTGTGAAAGAGCGAGCTTGCTCCTACTGATCTTGTGCCCTTTTTCAGATGTGTTCTGTGTTTCCTTAGCAAAATTAGGCAGGTATTGTGCTTAAGTTTAAAGGATGTTTCCCAAAAGTGTTGTCAGTCTGATGTTGACAACTAGTTTCAACTCTTAAAAATCCTATAACTATATTAAATCACATTACCTTCTTTGGGAAAAAAACAAAGGAAAAAAACCCAAACAAACAAACAAACAAAAAAAAAACAAAAAAAACCCAAACAAACAAACAAAAAAACCCACCAAAAAAAAAAAAAAAAAAACAAAACAAAAAAAAAAAACCAAACAAAAAAAAAAAAAAACCAAAACCAAAAAAACCAGCAAACCAACAAAAATAAAAACCAAAACCCAAAACTACATTAAATAGAAATTCCTTGTCACCTTTAAGCAGAACAACCAGAACACATGCTGAGTCACATCCACAGGAGTTTGATTTACCAAGGGATAAATAATTCCTAGTTGAAGAGCAATTATGTACCATTTAGTAACTTTAACATCAGCAGTTCCACAAAGGTATTAAAGCTCTGTGTGTATATGTGAGCTGTTTAACCTAACTGCACACATGTGGGTTGCACAGATGACATGGCAGCTTGGTATTACCAAACCAGAGTTTAATGTGTGATGGCTCACCATTAGCCTAGATCTCAATCTTTTAAAGCTATTTTTGAATAGCCCAGGGTGTCTCTGTAAACCTCTAATGATTTTCAGGTCATGGATGTATTAATTTTGAGATCTTTAAATTCAGTTATGATCTATTTGAAATATGTTTCTTTTTTTCCGAGAAGTTTATAGTTGTACTCACATGAGGCTAAATTGTGTTCAAAAGCATGTTTGAATACTCATTTGTACAGTTAGGCAGCGTTTCATGTTTGAAACTTTGAGTCTAAGAATTATCTGACTAAAAGCAACTATCAAAGCTATGTTGTTGTTCCTGTAATACCCTGAAGGTCTGGTTCTATCAGTTAAATACACGTGATGCTGCTTTTGTGGAGTATAATTAAGGTTTTAATGCTCTAGTCAATGATGACCTACTGTGCAATGGAGGCAAAACCAGGCTTGGAATGACTTGTCCTGCTAAAACTCAGTGATGATAAGTCATTTGAATTGTGATGTGGCAGATCAGTTCTCCAAGAAAGGAAGAAAAGTGTGAGCACTGTAATATTCCTGCTGCTGTGTTGTTTGTTTGTCTAGTTTTCAGTATCAGTGAAGTCACTGTGTGCATTTTGTTAATGTAGCACAGCTATCCTTGAAACACCAGCAGAGAAGCAGATATAAAGAGACCAGATAATACACCTTCATAATTTTATAGTTGATAAATATGGAAATAACGGGAGCTGTAACCACTGCCATCTCTTCTTACATTTGGAGTTTTAGCATAAGGAAAACTCTTTTTGGAGGCACACTAATGTTTTCATGCTTATGAACTTGTAAGTCAGGAACTAGATTTGTTTGTTTTCTGGAAGGTATTTGAAGCAGTGATAGCCTGGGTAAACCATGACAAAGATGTGAGGCAGGAGTTAATGGCACGTCTGATGGAGCATGTTCGGCTGCCTTTGCTTTCCCGGGAGTATTTAGTTCAGGTAAGCGAAAAGGAATACTAATTATTCTGCATGTGAATACTTCTGTTCATTATTTTAATGCCAGATAGATAACTTTAAATTTCAACAACAGTGTCATTAGTATGTTAGTGATAGAAAAAGTAAACAAACAGCCACTACCACCTACTCATGTGCACATCCACCCACTGAGGTGAGAGACTGATTAGGAATTAATGACAAAGGAAACATTCTTTTACCTGGTTCAGATAAAATAAACTTTTTTCAAATTTTATAAGCTCATTTGGATATTTTGGTGTCAGGTCAAATATTTAAGATTGACAAGATGAGTTCAGTATTAACATTGGTTAGTAGGTTGGTAGGTGTTTATTTTTAAAATTCTGGTTTTGTGATACAAATCTCCAATTTGTGTGGATGTTTTGGGTGGGATTTGGGTGGGTTTTTTTGCTGTTGTGTTCTGTTGTGGTTTTTATTATTGTGGGGTGGCTTATGAGGTTTTAAAATTATTCTCTGCTACTCTGCTACTTCCGCCTTAAAATATTCTGTACTGTCTGTATTTAAAAAATGAATAAATGTGCCCAATTGTAAGAAATGTGATTTACCTTCCCTATCACTGTTTCTTCCACTTGCTAATTAACAATCAGCATCTTTTAATTTTTTTTGCTAATGACTGCACATTTCCAACACAAATTTGTGTCCTACTGGTTAAATTACAGTCTTAAAAGTAGATTAATCTGTATTTGTGTGATAGATCATAGGCTTTAACACACTTTGGACTGTGATTTCTGCTTTACTTCCTTAACATGCTCAGACCTTGTTAAACTTCTATTAATAAACAGAGAGTTGAAGAGGAAATATTGGTTAAGAACAGCAGTGCTTGTAAAGATTACCTCATTGAAGCTATGAAGTATCACTTGCTACCAACTGAGCAACGGGCATTGATGAAAAGCACACGGACAAAATTGAGAACACCCGCCAGCCTTCCAAAAGTAAGGCCCTTGTTTTTCCAATGTATACAATTTCAAGCTACATTTTAAAAACTTTCATGAGAGCATGACTGTGTCTTGGGGTATTCCTGTAAAACAATTGTACCAGAATTATTTATCATAAAAATGTAACAAATTATTACCTTTACGCTCCATGCTACTTATGATATAGATGTTTTAGCCTCCTACTTAAACAGAGAATCACCACTACCTGCCCTCCCAGAAAACATTTTTTAATAAGTACTTCAGCTCTTTTGAGAACTATACAATTATGGAGAAGTAAGCCTGTTAAAAAAAACAAACAAAACCAGAACCCAAAAAAAACCCCAAAACAAAACAAAGAATGACTGAAGAGACTGTGTTGAGATTTTTAAAATTTAATCTTTAGTTCATTTTAGCAAAAACCAAAGATTAGATTCTTTCTTCTTTACAATAAAGTAAAGAAATTTTCTCGTAGTACTGTTGTGAAAATGGTAATAATGGAATAGGTGATTCAATTCAGCAGATTTAGTAGAACAAGAAAAGGCTGTTACGTGATGGATGGTCACAGCTTCACTACACATCATAGATGATGAATTCTCATACCTGAGATCACAGGAGGATGTGAAGATCCAGCAGGTCTCCCTCTTCCATGGGAGCTTTACCAAGATTCTGATTGCCTCCTGCTTTTCCACCCTTGGTATTTCCTCTGGACAAAAAAATTACATTTGTTTATAAAAAGCACTAACAATTAATTTGGCCTGTTTCACAAGACTCAAATTTCTATAGGAGAGCCATCCTTTAATTATTTCTTGCACAGAAGCTCGCTTTATTTTTAAACACTTTCTTGATCTTTCAGGTGCTCTCATATATACAGATAACTAACAGTTGTTATTATTATTATCATCTCCCTGTTAGCTGATGATGGTAGTTGGGGGACAGGCTCCAAAGGCAATTCGCAGTGTTGAATGCTATGATTTTAAAGAAGAACGCTGGCATCAGGTAGCTGAATTGCCTTCCAGAAGATGTAGAGCAGGTAAGGATGCCTAATTTTTTTGTTGTGGTTGGTAATGCTTCAGAATTTAGGCATTGTATGTTCTCTGGAACAGTATTTGAGATATTTATCTAAGAAGGGCTAAACTTTGACTTCACTGATTATTTGAATTACTTGCTAATCTTGAACGATACAACTTTGATCAATTGTGCTTAATTTGAGCATCAGTTTGCAATGTGTAGGATAAACTGCTTTATTACCTCCCACAGAAACAAGGAATAAATAAATGTAAATATTAATGTATTGTAGTAAAGATTAATTTTGCCATTAAAATACCTTAATCTCATTAAATGATACAAAGAATGTGAAGAAGTGATAATCCACTACTGAAAACATGAACATGTGATCTTAAAGCTGCTGAGCGATTTAGGCAAGAAGAAATTCAGCAAGCCTAGTATTCAGGAATGTGCACTGCTAGCAAAAAGTGGTAATCTGAATGAAATGTGGTTCTAGAGGACTGTCAAAAGCACGACAAGTGTAGTGAATACTGTAGTTTGTGTCAAGTATCTGCATACTTAGGACAGTCACAGTTACAGAATACAGTTATTTGGCAGAGAGGCTGAAACACTCATCTGTCCTCCCCTGTCCCTGCTCTAGGAATGGTGTACATGGGAGGCATGGTTTATGCTGTTGGTGGTTTCAATGGCTCTTTGAGAGTTCGTACAGTAGATTCCTATGATCCAGTGAAGGACCAGTGGACAAGTGTTGCCAACATGCAAGACAGGAGAAGCACACTGGGAGCAGCTGTATTAAATGGCCTTCTTTATGCTGTGGGAGGATTTGATGGGAGTACAGGTATGTTTGCCTGAGACACTTCTGAATAACTTTGACTACTCTTAACATAATTGTTTCAAATTTTAATGCCTCTTTTTGCTGGTACTTGTGGTGAAACCAAGCATGAGGGTAGCCTAGCATCTTGTGATGTGGAATGTGCTTAAGTGATCACATCCCCCTACCTGAACAGTGGACTGTTTGCTCCTAAGAATTCCGGCTTAAAAACTAGTGAAATTTTGGCAAGTTTGCTTCCAGTATTCCTTCTATAGTCAGAGTCCTTAACTTGTGGAAGATATGAGAGAAAAATTATCTGATCTGGTTTGTCCTGTTTGCACAGGAAATTGATTTCTGCATTTTCGTGTAGTGTAAATAAGATTATAAACAGCTTTTTCTGACCTGTGAGAAAGCTTTAGACATACACTGTTCATTCCCTATTTAGATGCATTAAACAATTAGTGCAGAAGTGATCTTTTTGCTGAATAACTATTATAGAAGCATATGTAGGAGAAAGCATGTGTCTTAATTAAAAAGAAAATAAATAATCCAGGGAAGAAGTTTTCAAAGCTCCACAGAAATTTTCAGTAATTTGCCCATTTCCAGACATGAAGTTGGGTCGACTGTAATTGCCTGTCTAAAGAACAAAAGGTTGTGCTTTTTGTTCAGTATTTAACAATCCTTAAAATGAAATAATTTGAGTTTTCAGATAAAAAGTTTCCTGAAAGGTAGCTAGTATGTTGCACCTAGATTCATAGAGAAAATGTTATATTGTCTTCATAGGTTTGTCATCAGTCGAAGTTTACAACTTAAAGACTAACGAGTGGTTTCATGTAGCTCCAATGAACACAAGAAGAAGTAGTGTTGGCGTAGGTGTTGTTGGAGGTAAGTTGACAAACGATATTAAAAAGAACAGAGGGAAATGCAATCATTTACCCTACTAGTTTTTTTTACTTCTGAAAACATACTTCAGATTTATGTTTTTGCTCAACCTTGTAATTCAAATGCTATGAACATTATGTAATCATTCTACTCGGGTTTCACCAGTTTTTAGCATAGTATTAAATTTTTTTTCGGAGCTTCAGCTGTGGCTAAGGCCAACTGAGGAAAACCTTGCTAAGCTCTAGGTTATGTATGTCAGCAAAGTCAGAGAGCTGACGTGATGACCTTATCATTTGGTCTTTAGTAATGCAGCACTGCTTTATTGTCAGTTCTGTTATCTGTGGCTGACCTTGCTGGCTGCACGCTGGGGACAATCCCAAGGGCAGTGCCAGGAAAATGCTGACTTTTCAGTCAGCTTGGTGGTGAATAGCCTGGATGTCACTTGCACAATGGAGACCTGGCCTGGCTCTTGGATCTTAAAACAGTTTTAGGGGTGGATGTGTGCTTTAACTGCATAGAAACCACTGCTGTTTCTAATCTGAAAATGCAGACTGTACGAGTGATTTTCAACTAAATTTCTGGTATTCCTAGGAAGCTTATTTGTGAGCTTCCAGTATCAAACATACTTGAAATAGCTTGTTTTTGAGCAATGCCTAATTAAAAACCTTACCTTTGTATTTCAGCTAGGCAATTTAAAATATTTTGACTTGCATTGTTGTTGATAGATACTGGGTGCCTTTTACATCCTAAAAACGACAAGACTGTGGCATGCTAACCTAAACTGTGTACAGTATAGAATCTCAGTAAGTGATTGACAGGTGCTGATTAGTAGCTAATTGGAGAGCAATGCCTGTCCTCTTTGCCGGTGTGGCAGTCCCTGCATGTACTTTAGCAGCTGGCAGGCTCCTTTGGTTCCCCCAGGGAAGCTGTATGCTGTTGGTGGCTACGACGGAGCATCACGGCAGTGCCTTAGTTCAGTGGAATGCTATGATGCCAATTCCAACGAGTGGAGCTACGTCGCAGAAATGAGCACCAGGCGGAGCGGAGCAGGTGAGTGGACAAGGATCAGCTGTCCTTGCAAAGATGAAAACACGTGGGTTTAAAATGTATCTAAAAACATGAAAGGTAAGCTAAAGTCTGAATCTAATGGAATGTGCTAGTCCTAGATGGCTGATACACAGCAGGTTATAAAAACAAAACTGTTCCACTGAGTAAGATTCAGTCTGTTAAGAGTAAATATCCCTCTTTGTTTTTTCATTCTTTCATATTCCTCCTCTTCCCACAACTTCTGATGGTTTTTAACATACTGACTAATACTCATGGATTGTAATAATCACTATCACCTCTATTCTTAAATATCAAAATCTATACAGCAAGCATGAAAAAATGTCTTTTCTACAGGGAACTCTTTGCCAGTTAGGGCTGATTATTCTAACAGCATTTTCAGGTTGACTTTACGTGTGAACTGTGACTAGGTTTCCACCTCTTTGGAGGACTTGTTCTGCATTCTGATTCACTGCAGGAAATTTTGTCCTTGTTCATTCCTAAGTTTGTATAACTGGTTTCATCCTATTACTTCCACTTATGTACCCTTTATTTCACCTTCAGTAATTCTTTTCATCACCTGGTGTTTGCATCCTCTGTACATGTACAGCCTACTCCATGTTATCCTTCCTTATCATTTAGCCAAGGTATATCCATTTATTTCTATATAATCTTAAAAATCCCTTTTTTTTTTTCCTTGTGGATTTCTTTTTTCCTTCTTGCAATTCTGAGTGTGTATATTTCTCTTTAAAGACATCTTTAAAAGTGCCTGTGGTATTCCACTTTTGTTTAATGAAATTATGCTTCCACAGCTCCAAATTGACTTTAGCATTTTCATTATCTATTAATATTATGGACTTGAATCTCATTTACTGTTCACTGTCCTCTATTTGTCTTTTGGTATTTCAGGTTTTTTCAACTCGCAGAAGTTGTTTTATTTCTCTAGATGCGTTCCCATGGACTTTTTCAAGTCAAATTCCATGATATTATTTTCTACATTTATTTTTTAGTAGTTAAGTCACTTTTTTTGACAAGTACTTAATGGTGGTTTTTAGCAACACCCTTCAAGTATCTACTGGTGATTGCAATAATGTGCTTCATAATGGGAAGAGATATTGCTACAAATAAATCTGAATGGACTTCTAGTATGCTCAGTATATGATTAATAATTGCCCTAACTTCTCATCTTACCTTCCAATATTCTTTGTTAACTCTGAACAGTTTTTACCTATGTAATAAATTAAGTTTAAATAATTTCAAAAGAAATCTATCAAAGTACTAAATTCATTACTAAAATTGATAGTCTGTGATACTTCCATCATATCCTTACAAGATCAGCAAGCTGATAACTCTTATTACTAGAAGTCACATTTCAATTGTATTTCTGAACTAAAACTTTGATGTTAATGAAGGAAATATGATACACTAAACCTCAAGAAAACACAGTTGCCTTGTGAAACTTCTAGTAACTCAGTCTGTGCTTCTTGGAAGTAAATTCTGGATTAAAAACTGGACAGAGTTGCAGTAAGGGTACTGGAAAATATTCTTGTCTAATATTGGCAAGTTTTGAGGAAAATATTGATATAAAACGGGCAAGTTACAAGAATAATTTTAAAGACAAATAGTGTTGGTGGATTGTGACAAAGTTTCATTTTGCAGTCTGCCTGCACACACATTCTGTTTCAGCATTTGGGGTTTATTTTTTGATATTCTGTTTTTGCAAACTGTTGTTGTGCATGTAGCCTATTTATATAGTAGATGTTTTCAGATTTTTTTTTTAATGTTGAATTTCTTCTACAATTCTGAAATTTAGTTCCTTAAATATACTAACTACTGGGATCTTCCTGCCCCTCCCCTCTCTTCCCTTGTCCCTGTGTTTGCTTATTCAACTCTCTTCTGCCTTTAACCTGGTCCACTGATAAAAAAAATGGAGAGGAAAACTAAATGTAGACAGTTATTCCAGTTTCATATAATTGAGTAAAATAATCAACATTCTTCTGTGCCACTCTGTTAAATACATGAAAAATTATATTTTTGCATGGCAGAGGATGGTGATGTGAAAATCGTGACTGTTGATTGAGCTTGGCTGTAGAGGCCAAATAGCCAAACCCACCAGAACTGTTTCAACCGGCAATCAGTCCTGGTGGTGTTACGGGGGCTCACTAAAGAAAATTTTGTTCCTGTATTCAACTTTTGGATGTCTGGTCATCTCAAAGAACTTAAGCTCATCTCTTCTGTTCCTACTGCTTCAGCTTCACTCAAAAGCAACTTTTCAGAGGTTAACCCTCAGTTACTCTTCTTTAGTACCCACTGCTTCTCAGTTGATCAATACGGGGACAGATCTGTTTCCAGCAACATATTGGGAGGAGGAACTTCAGATCCAGATATTTGGGATATTCAGATCCAGGCCATTTGGGAGGGCTGAGAGATATAAGACAGGGTCCTGAAAAATGGGCAGGAAAGAGAAATAACAAAGAAAGGAGAACTCAGAAGACGGCAACAAGAGGATACAGACGGAAGGAGCAAGAAATAAGGTAGGACCTGGAAACTGGGTGTGGGATTAAGGGAAAATGAAGCACCATGGAGGAACGGAGGACATTTTTAAAAATAAGGAGCTATGAAAGAAAAAAGTGGCAATGGGGCAGAGGGAAAGCTCTACACGCTGAATAGGAAGGCCAGTAACTATTGAAGGCATGGGTGGGGGGATTTATGTCACATCCCATATTTAAACTGAAAATATTAGCCCTCCTCCTAGCTCTGTAATATTTAATTCTACAAAAGATGAATGCTGTACTATCCTGTCTAATGAAGTGTGATCAGAGTGGGAGAAGGAAAAGTTGTCATACTATACTATGGCATGATAGCTAGAAATAATAGCAATAAAAGAGGAATTAAATTAACTGGGAAGGATATGGGGAAATGCTAGTAGTGAGTATCACTTATAAAACACTAAATAGCATGATTTATAAGTGTCCTATCAAGAAGCTATTTTTCAGATTTACAGTACCAATTAGCTTCCATGTTTCCTTTCTCTTGTCTTTAATTATTAAAATCAGTCTCTTTAATAAGAAAATATAGTAATTTCAGCAGGAGTCGTTTGTCTTCACATATAGAAATGGCTCTAATTACAAAATTAGTGATATGTTTTTAAAGATATTTCAGCTCGTTTTTAAGGTCTTGGGGTTCTTTTTTTTTTTCCTTTTTTTCCTCCTTTTTTTTCTACCTTTTTTTTCCTTTGAAGGACTTACCTGATTTTTTGCATTCATATTTGTTGTTTCCCTTTAAAAAGATTTTAAGTGGTTCCATGAAATACTTTATGAGCTATATTTGCAAATTTGTATCTCTGCTTTGAGTTTCATGGTCTTAAATGTGGCATTTATTAGATTTCTCAGTATACTTTCATAGAAGTGCTTTTTTAGTTGTCTTTATGGTCCATCACTCAGAAGTTTTAATGCAAAAAAAAACCCCTACGTTTCTGAAATTTATTACGTTTTGGTTCTAATGCGTTATAAAGGGAGTAATAAATAAACAGGCCTCTCTTTCTGTTTCCCCCATTTCCATCTTTTCAATATGTGCAGCCCAAATAGCAAGTAGATAGATCTAGCTTTACTCACGCCTTCATTCCAAGCTCACAGATTGATAAACTTTTGTTGTAAAGTAAAGGAGACCTTAGGATTAAAGGACACCCTTTAATATCCTTTTGGATATTTTGATAACTGAAGCTTGGTTCAAAGACGCTTGGTGTTCTTCAAATCCCAGAGAAGGTACTCACTGCTAACTGTTTAATTCTGTTCCATCTGTTTACAAGGTATTCCAACACTTCAGTGGAAACATCCGTATTGTATAATGTCTATCCATTCAGCTTTTATCCTCTGTACTGTGCAGCTTTTACTTCCTAAAAGTTCACTTACACTTTATCATCTTGTCAGATTTCTGTTATGCTGGCTGAGCACATTGTCTCATTTACTGTCACTTCTAATTAGTCCTAAATTTCAACAAGCGTCATTTTCCTGCACGTCATTTTTCGTCCAAAATTTTCTAAATCTTCTGTTGCAGAACAGCTCTGGTCTTTGTATGCTGTGATATGGTAGATGGGCACGCAAGGCATTTTATCAGTGTCTTGCTGTAGTTACTGTCTCTCTGCTTTAATGCATCCTGACCCAAATGTTTTCTGAAGTAGTTTCCAACATTGACTTAATGAAGGATTTATGTTAGCTGACATATTTGTTGTTTCTCCTTCGTATCTTTAAAATAATTCTCTGGTTAATTCTGCGTATTTTCATATATTTGCAGGTGTTGGTGTGTTAAACAATTTATTGTATGCAGTAGGTGGTCATGATGGTCCTTTGGTAAGAAAAAGTGTTGAAGTGTTTGACCCCATTGCCAGTACCTGGAAGCAGGTTGCAGACATGAACATGTGCAGAAGGAATGCAGGTATGTGCAACAACGACTAAAATTGTACCAATGTCAATTGTCAATGGCATGTACCTGGACTTCTGCTGCTTTCATAAAAAAACATGATTTTGGGGGGGATGTGGCAGTCAATTACTAATTTTCCTTGTGGTTTTCTGCCCTTTTTCAGGTGTTTGTGCTGTAAATGGTCTCTTGTATGTAGTTGGAGGAGATGATGGTTCCTGTAATTTATCAACGGTGGAGTATTATAATCCAACAACTGATAAATGGACGGTTGTGTCATCTTGTATGAGTACAGGAAGGAGTTATGCAGGTAAGGCATAAAAATATTTTTAATACACTTTTTAAAGTATAACATTGACAAAGCGTCCAAACAGAATCTTGTCGAAGGTAAAATCTAAGATAATGAAATGGGTAGGAAGAAATTGATGTACATTTTGAATGATGACTTCAAATAATTACTCACTACAAGGAAAAAAAAAAGGATTAAAGTGTACTCAAGAAGGATTTAGCACATAAGTGGTGAGTCAGAGAGATGGTTCTGGTATGACCAGTTTTTTAACAAGAAATATGTGTCTCCATCTAAGGGGTCCAATTCCAAAGTTCTTTGGGATTTGATATTTAGAAAATGAGCTGTTTCAGGAATCTTTTCCTTCAATAACTGCAGTTTTTCAAATGAGTTATTTAAGTGAATGTTAAGGATATATTTCACTGATAGCAAAATTTAACTTGATTAGTCACAGAAACTTTCAGAACTTGGCACTGATTCAGACAGCTTCGTGTCAAAGAGAAATTAGGGAAAAATATGTACATTGTTGCTGGTGCATAGTTAAATGCTATTTGCAATGTATCTTTTTTTTAATTTTAAAAACAATACTGCCTAAAGATTTATCCCTTTTTCTCCTCCTCCCTCTAGGTGTTACAGTTATTGACAAACCATTATGATCAGTAAAGCGATTTTCAACTTGATTATGCACTAGAAGCAGTCTTCAACAAGTGTATTTGAAGTGACTGAGTATCTAAGCACTTCTCTACTTGTAGCTGCACCTTGAGTCACAGTGGAAGATGTGACTGTCTACAATTGCAGATGACAGATGATGAAGATTACTCGAGGTAGAAGCAATTTGTAGGATTATTCTGCAGTTGAGCAGAAGCTGATTGAACTTTTGAAGTCTGGTGGACCATTTTTTTTTATTGCAAGGTCTTCAGAGAAAACCCAACACTTTCATAAGGACCAGCTTCTGTCAGTCACGACTGAGAAACGGATTGTGAGTGAAGAATGGTGTGTATTCTGGTGAAAGTAAATTTTTGTCTTATTTTTTCCAGAGACTAATAAATATATTTAAGGAAATGAACTGTCAGTCTTCATTGTAGGTACTGAATCCCACCTCAGTAATTCAAACTGGCATGGGGTACATTTGTTTCCTTTTATAAAACTTTTGTTACGTAACTATACTATGTGCATATGTTTGTGTGAGCATAAGTTGCTCTCTACTGAAACTCTTCAAAACCTGATTTTACTATTTATAATTTGGCACAGTACTTTGAATATGTCAGTACTATGTTGTAAAACAGAGATGTATTTTTTGATATGTAACAATGCTTAACACTAATTCCCGCTGAAGGAGATCAGAGATGGTTTAACACTTCTTGAGCAGGTGTAATTTCAGTATCTTTTTAATAAAAATGTTGTCTGTACTTACAGGGGTTTTTTTTTTTCCTGTTCAATTTTGGTCACGTTTAGATGTTAATTCTTTTTTACCTTTTTATCCAAAAGGTGATTTGGCATGAAAATAACTGAAAATTTATAGTGAATGTATGCAATTGCGTTGAACTTGCATGGTACAAAGGCCTATTTATGCGTGTAATCTCAGCTTCTATTAGCCAATATCTGAATACACTGTATATGGCCATGCTTATACAGCAGCACATTTTTATTTGTTCATGGATGACCTCCTTTTAACATGACCAAAGTTACTGTCATATTTGAGACATTTTCTTCAAATAAAAGTTTGTACATTGTTTCCTAATGCCAACAGGTCGCTTAAAACTTGTGTTTCTCAATGCAAGTCTCAAACCAGATAATCAGTGAATAAACGGGGGCCGTGGGGCTGGGGGGCAGGAGCGGGCGAAGCTGGTGTTGTAAAGGTCTGCATGCCAGCGAACTGAGAGTTGCTGAGGGTTAGGAGGCGGTCAGTGAACACCGCTGTTTGCCGCAGGTGTCCGTGAGTCAGGAATGGCCACCGCTGGCTTCCCGCGAAAGCGTCCGAGCTGTGACATTGGTGACAGGGCCGGAGTCACGTAGGTGCCCGATTCCATGTGACGCACGGCGGGGCGAGGCAGGGCTGTGAACGGGAACCTTCCATCTGAATCGCACCCTTCACCCGCATGACACCAACGGACTGCGGCTGGGGGCCGCTGCTGCCATGGCGACACCGCCGCCTGTGCACTTCCATCTTTTCGTTAACGCGGGAGCAGGGAGCCGGCGCAGGCAGCCGCGGGCGAGCAGCGGCGGGAGGCGGCGAGCGGCGCTCCCGGCCCCGGCACCGAGGCGCTCCCGGAGCCGCCGCCGCGCCCGGCCGGGCCCCGCCCTATGGCGTCGTGCGCGTCACCTGCTGTCCTCCCTTCCCATTGGCCGCGGGCCGGGGTCTCACTATCCTCACTCCACCCCTCCATGTTGTTGCGCGCACGGAGCCGCCGCCGCCGCTCCTGCTGCCGCTGCCGCCGCTGCTGCCGCTGCCGCCAGGTGAGGGGCGAGGGCGACCGGGGCTGCGGGTGCCGGGCTGCGGGGCTGCGGGTCCCGGGCTGCGGGCTCCCCGAGGGAGCGCGTTTCTCCTCGGCGTTCCCCATCCGTGGGTGGCGTGTGACGGTATGTGTCCGCCGCCTGGCGGGGCCGGGCGGGACGGAAGAGCCCCGGTGCAGCCCGGCCGCTGGCTCCGCGGCTTCCCGGCGGCGTGTTCGCGGGTGGTGCCGATGGTTTAGTTGCCTTGCGCTTCCGTCCGCCCAGGAGCTCGGGCTGTGCGGTGCCTTGGCGTCTGCGGCGCTGCTTTTGCTGTCGGTAAGGAGCGGCAGCATCGCGATGCTGTTGCTAAGGGAGAAAAACCATAAGTGATGTTTTGGATACTGGTTTGGTGTGGTGCTTAATATGTGAGAGTTAATTACACATTGGAATGGGCTGTCCGGGGAGGTGATGGAGTCACCCTTCCCGCAGGGCTTTAAGGATGTGGCCCTTGGTGCCGTGGTCCAGTTGATAGGGTGGTGGTGGGTTATGGGGTATGGGTTATAGGTGGGTCATGGGCACAGGGTCTCAGGGCTCTTTTCCAGCCTGCGGATATGTGATTTGTGTCAGATTCAGCCTAAGTGTGCCAGCTGGGGATGGACCCTGTCCTTTGGCCTGTGAGTTGAAAGCCTGTGTGAGAGTGGAAGACGGACCTGCTAAAGGGGTCCAGAGGAGGGCACTGGGAATGGTCAGAGGGCACATCATCAGTGGGAACAGGCTGGAAGAGCTGGGGTTGTGCAGGCTGGAGAAGAGAAGGTTCAAGGGACACCATACTGTGGTACATAAAGGGGGCTTTTTGCTGAGGCTTGTAGTGACAAAGTACAGGGCAGTGTTCTTAAACTAAAAACGGATAGGTTTAGATTTGGCATAAGAATGATGTTTTTTACAGTGAGAGTGCTGAGACACTGGAACAGGATGAGCAGAAAAGTTCTGTGTGCCCTGTCCCTGGAAGTGTTTGAAGGCCAGGTGGGATGGTGCTTTGAGCCACTTGATGTCCTGAAAAATGTCCCTGCCCATCCCAAGAGGGTTGGATTGTAAATGATGTTTAAAAGTCCCTTCCTGGCCAAACCAGCAAGGAGCCTAGTCTGTGGAAATGGCACGAGTTCAGGGCACCTGCAGAAGTGCAGCCTCTGTGGTTTTGGGAGCTGTGAGGAAAAGTCCATTACTGAGGGAAAGGTGGAATGCCTCAAGCAGCTGCAGTGTTGATGTAATTTGCAGGGATTTTGGTTCACAGCCATGAGAAAAATGGGACTGGATAATCAAGAGATCACAATTAATCTCTTAAATATTTTTTGAACCTTCCTGTTGCTCTTTTAATACAGAATACAATTGTCCTGCAAAAGCCTTGAAATAAATTTGGGTAGTAATTAATTCTTCTTTATCCTTCTGCTCCCTTGACATAATCTCAAAACCTAGGAGCTGATTGTCTCTCAAATTGGTTTGCCTCTCAAACCAGTCTAAAGCTTTGTTCTTTTAGGCTGTTCTGTATGAAGAGAGTCTGTCTTTCCTGTCCTTTCTCAGCTTTTAATTTCAAACTAGGTAATGACTCTATCATGTGATTTTTTTTTTCTCTGAATATTAACTTCTGTTTATTGAATATTTCTCAAAATTTGCAGGTTACTTACAGACAACTACAGAAGAACTGCAATTGTGATGTTTTATGATTGAACCATGGCCATGAATGACAGCGTTAATATCTTGAACTCTGCTTATCTGGCAGTGGAATATATAGACTCCTTCTTACCTGACAATCCCCTGCAGCAACCATTTAAAAATGCCTGGAATTACATGCTGGATAACTACACAAAGTTCCAGATTGCAACTTGGGGATCACTTATAGTTCATGAAGTTTCATACTTTTTGCTCTGTGTACCAGGATTTATCTTTCAGTTTATACCATACATGCAAAAGTATAAAATTCAACAGGTAAGAGAAAGTTATGAAGTATACACTGACTTGTCTTTGAACATACCAGGCAATCACATTATCCTGTTTATCATCACAGTATCATCAATGTATATGGTTCCATTTCATCTGTCACTTGGACATCCTGAAAACAACAAAGTAAATTTACTCTGTGTATGAGGAGAGAAAGAGAAGTGGATTTTAGGGAAGAAAAGTAGTTTTTTTTTCTCCTGAAGAAGAGTTATGCTTTCCTCCATGGTGTTATAGAGAGGAAAGGGCACGTCAGTCTTGTTGTTAGTAAAGTTTTACATCCATAGTTGCTTATATCAGCAA